GCTGCAAGTGCAGCCTTACGGCGGCACAAGACAGTAGGCGGAGAAGCCCTCTGTGCTGAATTTGTGGGGTGAGATGCCAGCCCCCCTGTGATTTCCTCTAGCAAAAAGTTGTTTGTGAAAAAGCAGCAGAATACATTCAGGTCGATTAAGCTCGAGACACCGGAGCCTATTAATTATGCAGTGGGTTTGCTTTCGTGAGGTGCTGAGCACACTCTGTTCCCAGCTGAACCAAGCGGGCCCAGCATCTCTTTTGATGACTCCCATGATTATTTCAATGTTCACCTTTTTGAGGGCCTTGATTCCAGCGAGAAGCAGTAATACATGCTCCATGCTTACCGACTTCGCCCTAAGCACCCTCCTTAATGGGATAGCCCTGCTCTGACCCACCACCTGGCTGATCGGGGGCTCTGACGGATAGCTTGCCTTTCTGAAAGTGATAGTTTCTCTGAATGGATTGGATGAAATGTGCCCTGTTTGGATGCTTTCAGAGTATGCATAACACATCTGAGACTTTCAGAGGAAAAGCAGGGGAAGTAATGTCTAAATAAAAACATTGCTAGCAAGACTCGGGGGCAGAGACGATACTTGCTGAAGTCTCTCTAGTGCCTTTTTATGGCAGACATGACAGCCAATCCTGATCCAGACTTTGCTCACGCTCTGTAGAAAAGAGAAAGTCTGATCATCACATTTTAAAATTTAATAACAAGTGGCTTCCAATCAAGCATAACAAGCAGCTGCTGCCGACAAGAAAGAGTGGAACGCTAGATGCAGAGTTTCACAACCATTCACATCATGTCCAAACTCTTCACATTAACGATGATGCACTTACAATCACACGCACCACAAGCTTGTACATGGAAACATTTGTGTTGCCTTACAAATGTTTTTTCTTTCTTTCTCTCTTTGTTTCTTTCTTTCTTTCTTTTGTTTTGTTTTTAATCTTCTTGAAAGACAAGCAGAGTCTGGTTGGGGCTGACTGTCATGTACCCAAGGTAGTGGTAACGAGCAGACACTGCATCCCACAGTTTGCTGTGGATGATGGTAAACTCCAAAAAAGGCAGTACATCGAAACACAAAATCCTGGGGCACTTTCACACACAGGGCAATCACAGTCATATACACACACCTGCCTGATACTGTAAAACCTCGGCCTGTGTTTTACTGATAAATTGGAAGGAAAACAAAGCAAAAAAGGAAAACAGAATGGCTCTTCCTTCATCCAACCTCCTTCAAAGTAATTTCTGTGAGGAAGCTCTATATCCTGTCAATACATTAGCGCACCGATAAAAGCAAGTGCATCTTAGGTACAATAGCAACTTTATTCTCTACTATATCTAGGAAAAAAATCCTCCTCATTTTTTCTTTACTGCTACTCACGCCTGTTAAAGAGGGAAGAATAAACTGTACCTGGACGAATGCAGAGATGGTTTTATATTCCTTACTTAAATGTTTAGGAATTTAATACCAAGGTACTGCTGGGCTTTCCTCTGGATTGCCTTTTGGTTGTTGTCATGGGGTGGGGTTTTTTTGTTCAGCTTTGATTCAACTTGAAATGTTTGCCAGAGAATATTTTCATTCTTTTCAGTGGACCCTGTCTTTGGTGAATAGTGATTTAATTGGAAACCTTAGAACATACACACCACAAATAAATGTGTTTAGTACACATATCTGTTTGACTTCCCATATGGAGTAAGCTTCACTGCCTTCCCTTGTCAACTGAGTAAAATGTCAGCTGTTTCCAACATCATCAGCAACAGGGACTTGTGACTGGGTTAAGTTAATGCTTCTAGTGCTGGATGCATTTACAGAAGGATGGGACTCATACCTGCAGAAAAGCTATAAAAAAAAGGTTTGGTTTTGGTTTTAAACAAAGTGTTTGACAAGTGCCAACAAACTTCACAACCCTTCTGAAGAAAGAGCATCTTTTTTTGTTTGGCAGTTTTTCTAGGGTAGCTAAGGCCGTTACTGTTTCCGTTGGGATGGAGCCCAACCTTTTCCTCTTGCCAAACCTCTTACACCAATAAACTAACTTCAGCATGAAGCACTTCATGTCCCTCTTGTGATTATTTTACATTTCAGCTCCAGAATCTCCCGTGTGGCCCTGTCCTCTTCCCTTCCTCTCATGGATGCTTCCCCTCCTTCCTCCTGCTGCAGCCCTATTCTGGGTTTCACAGGTTCCCCTCCTCTGCCTGCTCCCGGTCGCAGTGGCACGTCGTTTTCTTCCTTTCTTCTATCGCTTAGTTTCTGAGATCAGGTTTTACAGTATACGTTGGATTTACAGAGGGTGGAGTTTACCAGCACAGAAGCCCTTGAGCAGACTGTGGGACGTGTGCGATAACGAAGTGTAACCGGTGTACCTTGCTGCATGAGAGCTCCAACTCCAAACCAGAAACTATTTAGTAAAGTAAAATTGTTTTCCACCACATCTGAGTCTGGGTTGCACGGGTGGGGGTTATACCATTCATATGGTGTAAACCTGTGGCAGTTAACAGAAACAATCTGTAAACATAAAATACTGTACAAGTGAAGAGGTTAATGAAGGGAACACGGAAAAGAAAACCTCAGCTGAAAGGCTGTCCGCAGGACGTCTCGCAGCTGCCTTGCGCAAGCTGAGGAGCAGCGCTGCGATGCCAGGAGCCATTTTCACAGTCCTGGATCTAGCACAGGGCTACTCCCTCGCTCCTCCCGCTCTCGGGTTAGAGCCCTCGGGGAGGGACTGCTGCAACGCCCCGTGGCTTCCCTGCCTGCTCCGCCGACGGACAGACAGATGCTTGCAGGGGCGAGGGGGCAACTGGAAGCCACGTAGCTGTTCCTTGGTGAAGCATTCAGAAAATAATGAAGAGGTAGCAGCCCTCTAAGGGCAGCCATTGTTGGCTGTCCGTGGCTGAGACGCTGGATGCTGAATGTGCTTGCCCAGCACGAGGCTGCCGTGGCAGCAGAAGAAAAGGCTGCCGATCATTTGAAGGCATTCAGGAGCAACTGCAGAGGATTGCCTTTAAGGGCAGAGCTCTGCTCTATTCCCCGTGCGCCGTCCTGCAGCTGCAAACCGTGCCCTTCTGCTCTGCACGACACGCGGCAGAGTTATGTTAAGGACCGTTTCTCCCCAAGGTACCTTGCCTGCTGTTGCTTCCCACTGCTGCGTGGCTTGCTGTATACATCCTCATGAAGTCTATGAATATAGCTTTAATTGATAATGTCATGCCAATACATTTTAATTACTGTTCCAACAATATAATTAAGCATTGAATTTATGCACGGTTGCAAGCAGTGCCTTGCTTAGCTGAAGTAATGAACTCTGAGACTAATGAACCCACTAACTGAAACAGTATGTAGCTTAGGATGCCATTAGCTGCACAATATTACCATTACTAGCACGATAGCATAAAAGATCGTAACAAAAGACGCAGTTTTCAGGTTCAAAATACAACAGTTCTATATACACCAGTTAAAAGAAAAGCAATCACCAAATTATAGGTCTCAAATTTGTGGTAGAATAATGGAACCAACTGTTGTGTGGTAACAAAATCGATCCCAACTCAGTTCGTGCACACATGGGGAAACACAGCCTTAACAAGAGGCCTGGAATTATAACCTGGAGGTCACCTGAGCTTCCAACCACCATAGAAGTGAAGAGGTCCCATGCTGAGTGCTCACCCACAGGGTCCTGGAGTGTTAACACAGGACAGTGAGGAGATGTACAAGTAGCTCTGCCTGACCTGACTGGGAAGCGCAAGGCTGGGATCTTGCATCATTTCAGGCAACAGCCACATTCAGTAGGTTGGACACAAATGTCTCCATCACCAACAGAGCAAAAAAGCAGTTGCTAGAAAGTGGCAATGAAATGCTGGCAGCAAAACTCTTGCCAGACTGGAAAGATTTTTATAGTGCTGGGCATACATTTTAATGTGGTACTAGGGTATTTATTTCTTTTTCACCTTGAAACAAAAGCTGGTTTTCTTCTTGTGTTTCTATTGCTGTGCTGAGCTCTAAGAAAAAAATGGCTTACAATTCTGCTCCATTTCACTGCTCGGGCCTTCTGTTTTCCTGGCCATTTCCCCCTGTTTTTTTCCCCTCTTCAGACCTTCAGCAGTAGCTATGCTGAGGTTTCTGATAAAGAGGAGATGCTCAAGGTCTCATAAGCACTTTTTTATATAAGCTCTGTGTGTCTTTATTCACCACTGCTGGTTACCTCAGCTACCTCTCTCCACCGTCATTGACATCAACAGCACAGCTGATACAGCATTAGTAGCAAAGGGAAATTTTGGCAGAAAATGCCTTGTTCATTCAGTGCCAGTGTACTTAGGAAAAGAGCTTTGTCAGTCTGTAACCCTTCACAGTGATAAAAACTTCAGTGTTTGAGTTTAAAAATTAATATAACAATGACAGGGCTACATAAGGCTCAAAGACAAATGAGAAATTATTCAGCTGCTGAAAAGTCTGAAGAGATAACAGGAAGATTATCCCAGTCTATGAAAATTATTCCCAAGTATTTGTCTTCCATGAACTGATGTCAAAATACTGTTAACCATTTAATTTACTGTGGCAGTGTTAAGAAGGGGTTGCTTCCTGAGGTTCTTAAAACCAGTCTAACCCATATTGGCTGAAACACTTGGCAAATCTTACAGAAATCTTGACATATATGGAGACGTGAACAGGTCTAGATATGGACTGTAAGAATGGCTTAGCTTCTTGGAATAAATTAAAATTTACAAAATCTAAAGTAAATTAAGATGATGTGAACAGTTTTGCGTGCTTCAGCCTATAGAGTCGCTATCTAGTTAGGCACTGCTTTTAGGCATGGGTTCAAAAAGAGGTTGTATGTCAGAAAAAAACATTCTGGTAATTACAATAACTGTTTTGCTGAACTAGTGTGTTCTTTTCTTCTTTTCCTAAAATAGGTGGGTTATGAGAATGATATGCAAGCTTCATATATTTGTTACAAGTCATGTTTTGCGCTGTGCGTTATGAATGTGTGGGGGTCTATACCTCTAATGACATTTAAGCCTTTTAGCTAATTTTAGCCACATCCGACAAATAGGTAGAGTCCTTAGAGGTTATTATGCTCCTGCAAGTATTGTGAAACCGTGCAGTGGTAGCCCCACTGGGAGAGAAGCTGCAGGATGAGCTCACAACTCGTTACGTATCAGTTAATCCACACGGGAAAGATCGCCTATAAATCCTTCAGCTGCAGGGAAAGCAAACACATAGACAAACAAACTTCAGCTGGCGATCACAATCCGTCATGAGACACAAATCTGTCGGGAAATCAGGCTTCATCAGTTACACTGCTCCTGGAACTACTGCTTTTTAAGGAAGATTTCCAGCAACAAAACATAACACAGTTACACAGGGCAAACCTATGGATTTACCCAAAGACTACACTGTGCTTTGGAGCAATATTTAACAGCCAGGAAAGAAATGCAAACAGGATTCACAGTCGATGATTTGTGAGCACCGCGTGTTTCCCTTTGGTTTGCTCCTGGCCACACGTCTGCGCATAGGCAGCCCTGTGAGCAGACAGAGGACCCTGATGCTTATTTATTCTTGCAAACTTGATGCTGTTATTTTAAAAAAAATAGAAGCACCAAGGATAACTCGGGCTTTGTTTTCCCTTCTGCCTCTTCTGAAGTGGAGAGGACTGTGGGATGTTTTTAGTCTTGGCACACAACTGCAGAAAAGTCAATCTGTCACAGCCGGGCAGATTTAATATTAGTCATGAATGAGATCATGATTTGCGTACAGTAAGAGTTATTATTTATGGTACAGTGAACCACTGCAAGAGCTTGTGGGAAGTCATGACTAATTGTATACAGTCTCATAGCTGCCAGGGATGGGTAAACTCTTTTACCTAGGGCCAAGACTAATAAGTTAAACCATGACCTCTCTAATTCCCCCCTCCTTCTTGACATTCTCAGAAATTTAAGGGAAAAAGCAAATCCCACAAATTTCTGTACTTTGGTACCAGTATAGAAACATGCAAACAAGCAGAGTGTTCGCATAGGTTGTCCACCTGGAACACGGGTTGTTCAGTGGACCACAGAGAAATGTACGTCCAAGGCCAGTCACTCTCAGCAGAGCTGCTCGTGTGAATAAAGATTTTGCAGGGCCGTGTCTTTTGATTAAAAGAAAACAGTGAATTGGAGGAAAAGCAGAAGGAGCTTAATTTGACCTGGCCCACACAGAAGTGGAAGTCAGGCACAATGTGCTATATTATCAGAATTAATGATTCAGATTACAATTATTTTATGACCTCTGAATGAGGCATATGTATGTATACGTTGGATTATATACATTATTGCTGATTTCTGAAAGTTGAATGCCATCATTTGCAACAAAACCGGCAGCATTTCTGTTACTTTTGCTGTAATACCAATGTGTGGAATTCCAATGATACATCCCTTCAGTTCTTATATTTCATAATATAAATGTTTTCTCAGGCTATTTTCCATATACTTTATTAATGTGGAATATATTGTTGTATATGCAAAACAATACATAACAGAAGTGGAGAAAGGCTTAATTAGGAATCCTAAGTAAAAAGAACCAAAACATGCATCTCTGTGAAGCACTAATAAAAATATTTATGTTTTCAATTATAAAAAGGAAATAAACAAACAGAGTTGGAAATTAAATTCCAAGACCTCTATCTGAAGAAAAGGACAGTAACTATGCCAGTTCAGAGTCCAGGTTTATTCAGGAGTATAGAAAAAAGTATGCCTGAAAGGACCAACCTCCTCTGACAAGTTTCTAAATTCATTTTCCTTCATGCTTAGTTTGCTCTCGTTCAAAGCCCTAGAGCGACTGACTACACAGATTGTGGTCCGTGGTCTCTGCAGCCACGGTAAGTAGCTTGTACTCAGTTTGTGAAACCGTATCAGCTGTCTAGAGTTTTTAAGTTAAAGTTCAATGATAAGGGTACAGTGCGCTCTTCTGGCCCTCTGGAGGTGCGGCTGTGGTGCACTGGTCCAGCAGCTTTATGGCACACCTGCCTTTGAGAACATGATGAGCTTTGGCCTCATTTGGAAAAGTGGCGTGTGCGTGCTTATTTCCTGCTGGTTTTGAATAGGGGCATCGCCAGGAGCCTGCCACTGACAGGCAGGGTGCCACCTCAGGACAGTGCTGGGAGAGAGCCTTGGGTAGACATCACCTTGAGGATTGTCCCCTCAGGTTCCCCGTCACATTATCTTGTGTTTTCAAGGGAAAATTAGCTGAGCTAATTAACATCCTTCAGCAAAAATATGTTCACATCTTCTCTCTTACCTTTTAACTGTATGCACTGTCAGTGGAAAAGAGAAGTGCTTACATGCAAGCAATATGAACTGCTTTTCAACATGTAGTCTGCCGAGGTGTTGTGTACTGACAAAGAAAGGCTGACACATTTCATCGGATATTTCTCTCTGTTCAGCCCTTAAGGAAAGTAAATTCTCATCACATTGCAATACATAAAAGTGATACCGGAGTTGACGTGAAAATACCGAGTGACTTTCTGGAATGTTGTGGTTTAGGACTGGATAAAACCCTTAGGACAGTATTATACTATATCTACTTTGCAGAGCCCATGCAACACCTATGGGAGGAGAGGTAGTTAACGTGGATGCATCTAAAACTGCATCTTCAACTTACCTTGCAATGACAAAGAGGACACAACTGACTCCAAGGCAGGCTAGGAGAACATACATCCAAATATCAGGAGAAAGAGGGTTTAAAAAGGAGAAAACACCAGGGTTTGTTCCATTGGGCTTCCGGTACAAGATACTGATTCCCAGTGTCATGAAGGGCTTGGAAAAATCAATTACTTTCTCTCTTACGTAGGTAATAGTGAGAGGAGCAACAGCCAGATCAGCTTTCTGAAAATACAAATGGGAAAATGCTCATTCTTCTTCACATTCAGCGAACGCACTACTATTCCTGCCATTTTTCCCCCCCAAGTATTAAAAACTAAGCAAATTTGACTATAAATCTGACGTATGCGACAAAATTTAACATTGCTAGGATATTGCTTGGTACATGATAATCGATTTCCTCTGTTTTGCAGGCAGAGGGATATTTGTGGCTTGCATGTGAATAGGAGAGGTATGACAGGGAGGTGGGGCTCGGGCCTGTGCAAGGGGGCAGACTGTGAACAAGGACTGCCAGAGGACTGGCAAGGACTACGTCCACAGATCAGAGGCAGCCGCAGGGCAGAGGTGAGCTGGAAGCTCAGCCTTTGCCTTTGGAATTTGTAGCTGAGGGGCGGGCAGGACCCGTGCAGGCTCAGTGCCTGCTGCCCCACAGCAGACGGAGGTTGCCCCCAACACCCGTGAACTGTTGGTTCAGATGTACTGACGTGAATTCCTACTCTGACACATGGCAATAAAGACAGACCAGTGGCTCCAAAAAAATGAAAACGAAAGCAAACATTTCATTTGGGCTGGCTTTATATCAAATACCATAGGTGAAAGTAGAATAAAGAGAGAAGGATTCCATCTTACATGATCTATGAGTTCTTTGACCATCCCATTCCACTCTCCTTTGTCATTCTGGGCTCCATATTTACCGTCAGAAACTAGTTTGACCTCATAGATGAAGCCTAAAATATTTGACAGCTCCTTTAGTAAGTCCAGGCAATAGCCCTCGAATCTGTCATTTCCATACAAGGGCTTGTCAGACTTCTTGTACATAACATAGGGATCTTCCTACAGAAAAAGACAGTAGACATGGAGCAATAGAAATGAGGTTTGTTTCAGATTATATCAGTTTCTCTAATTTATGTTAATAATTTAGATAATATAAATGGATTGCAATTAGACAGAAACCAGTAATTTACCGTGTCCATTAAAAGCTGTTTTAGGTGTGCTAACAAATTGACTGAATCAATTAACGATAAGCATAAGGGCCCTAGTTTTCAGTGGAACAGATCATTCATAGCTTGCAGGAGCTTTAATTAATGTAGTGCTTAGCAGCTCCAAAATGAGACCCAAGATCTGTACTCTGCAGTGTCCCACCCTGGGGACAGGAAGGGATATTGAAGGAGAGAGAAGCCTAAATAACAGAAAAAGAATCATAAGGGGAACCTAAACTTTTATATTCTGTGAGAAATAAATCTTTACTGAAAAAAATAAATCTTCAAAAGTACAAAATAGTTGTGAGTTCAAAAGGTATTCACATGAGAGAATGGAGAACAGCGTAGGTAGATTGTAAAGTACCTTGTTGCTTTTCTTTTTAAAGGAATTTGGACAGGGGAAGATCTAGGCAAGCAGGTTTCTGCAGTTTAATGTGGCAAAAGACCTCTGGCAACAGAAAAGGAGTGTAGAGGGAGCCTTTGAGCTGTTTCCCTCCTCCTGAGGAATTAGGCAGAATAATTGAAAAAAGTGGCATTACCGGCCAGGGCAAGAGCACGAAGCAGCACAACTTGTGAATACCCAGTTGCATATTTTCCATTTATCATAGTAAGGACATATCTCAATCTGTCTATCCACTGTTTGCTTCTTTCTTTCAGTCCTCTTCATCTCATTTTCAGTAAAAAGGGAGGCTGTATAAGCACTGATTACAAAGCTGAGCATTTGTGTGCGTTAATTCTTCTGGGAAGAAAAGCATGCAGGGTTCGCCGCTGAAATATTGAAGTAAGTTAAACAGTTTTGGAGGCGGAGGTTCCCGAGAGTCTTTCATTTGGCAGGGGGGTATTTTTGAATCAATCTCGTGGCCAGATGAATGCGTACGTTGATTGTGAGTCTAAATCAAAAAATTTGCTTGAAAACGGGCTAGTTCAACAAAACGTTGCTTAGTGTGGAGGAAAACAGCCTCTGTGCAGGTCAGCAACGCCCGCATCCTGCAGCGCCGCCGGGCGGCGTCACCTCCCCCCCGCGAGACTTACCAAAATGGTGGTGACGATAAGCGTCCGGTTAGCCAAGGAATCCGTGATGTTGGTCGATTGGCCCTTGTTGCTGTCTGTCATGTTAAGGCCACTGTATGAGTTCCAAACCCCAATCTGCACAGGAGAGAGCGGGTGAGCGGCTGCCCGGCCACCGCAAGCCGAAACGTTTCCCCCAACGCTCACCGCCTGGGAGGAGCGCACGGGCTCTAGTCACCACAGAAAGAGACACCAGCAGAACGCAGTGCTAGAGGAGGGAAACGGCTGTAGGTCTGAGGAAGGCAGCAACATCAAATGGCTGATTTAGAAAACACAGGGAACATACGGCCCTTTCAAAAGCAGGTGGAAATGAATAAGCTGTAAGAGTATAAGGCACGGCACTACAGTCGTGTATTAGCCAATTTGCTACAGAAGTGGAACACGTTGAATTTGTTTCCTGCTAAAAAATGTCAAACGTCTATTTTTACGTTTGGGGTTTTTTTTAAATTTTTGTAAATGGTAGAGTTGAAACATATGGCAAGACCTCTCTCTTCCAATTCAACAGATTAAAAGCTTAAATAAATATGTTGAAGCAGATTGATGGATGCACTGGCCTCTTGCTTCCGCTGTGCCTTCAGCAGGTTTAGCAAAGATTATTCTGTCATTTCTTGACTACTATATATGACAGAGCTAGCAAGGTGATACCGTTTCACCCACTGATCAGTATTTGCTCAGTAAATATAAGTGGCCAAAGGCAAATCCCTTTGTAGCCCCAGAGATAGTGAAGAACTGCAGTATTTAATGCCCAATCCAAAGCTTCACGGGAAAGATCTTCCCGATTTCAGTGGATTTGGATCTACACCTTGCGAGGGCAGAAATTATAACCATGTTGATTTATTCAGATAAATATTTACTTTACATAAAGACAGTCTGAGAGCATCTTCAGGGGTTTTTTGCCTTTAGATTTATGTACCCAGCGCGGTTGAGGGCTGATGTGAGAAAACTCCATGCAAAGGGGCTGGCTCAGGCAGTTTGGTTTCTACTGAACATTTGTGGTGAGCGCCAGATGGATGGCTTGGGGGCCTGACATCGGCCATCCGCACAGCCCTTCATGCCGCTGCACTGCTCTGCCAGCATGTTTCAGCTCTACCTGGGAAGGATCATCTTTGCTGGGGCTGCCAGTGAAGCTGTCAAGTAAGCCTAAGACAAAACCAGCTTACTTCTCCTATGTCCTGAAGGTCTCTATCTGCTGTCAGATGCTCAGTCATTTCAGACCCAGGCTGGACTCTTTTTCTATGGTTGTTAAGTGGGACAGAGATGGTGTTGCCTTTGTACCAAACGCAGCAGATTAGCTTGTGCCTGCTGAGTGTGGATTTGGGGTAATAACTGTATAATTTCAGACAAACTTGGCATTTGTGTCCCTGGGTGCCATTGCTTTCGCCTTTCACAATCTTTTATTCCGAAGTGTGCTCAATGAGGATAGTCATGCCATTTTTTTTTTTTTTTAATTACATTTTGCAAGTGTTTATCAGTCATTCCCTTTGTTTCCAAAACAAGATCAGGTTGGGAAACTGATCTGGAAAGTACACACGAAATAAATGTTGGATATTATGATAGCCTGTGCCAGGAATATAGTAAATAACCAGTGTCCTTGAATTTGCACCAAGGTGGCTTAGTTAATCAAAAAGCTGTTCTGCTCGTTGTTACTGACTTGATATGGTTTTATCGTCTGGCAGCAGGGCAGAGAACAACCATGAAGAACATGGAGCGACACAGTCACAGTGCATACAAAATACACTAGGAGACCAGTCTACGTCTGGATAAAAGAATGACACCGCAGGTCAACCTTGATTAGAGCGATGGAGGAGGTCAGAGGGGCACTGGAAGAATGAGGCCAAGGTAGTACATCACTATGGTGAATCCAGGGGATTTATTGCAGTTTAGTGACAAGTTTGAGAAGTGTCATATGCCCTTCTCAGCAAGCCTGTGCTCTGAACCAATTGTAATTTGGTTTAAATCAATTCAGCATAACACAAAATGCCTAGAGTCAAAAGCAAGATTGGTTCAATAGCATTCTGCACGTCAGGTAGGATGATCTATTCACCAGTAATGAGGGAAACGGGGGCCTTTGTGCCTTAGCCTGATTCACTGAATATTAAAACAAGGTTATTAAGCATGTGCTTTATAAAAACATGAAAAGAGTGCTATAGGATATTTTGCACGGGTCTACTCTGTAGCATTAAAATCCCTCTCAAAAAACCACAAAACCAAAACCTTTTTTAACTGTGTATGTGGGAGGGGTGGGAAATAATAAGATCTGTGTGAAATATGTACAAAATATAATTCTAAGTGTTATAAGAATTTTTTATCTTGTGACTCCAGATCATTTTAAATGTGGTAAATGCAGGGGTTATCTTCTCCATACAGAATGGGCACCGTGTGTTGTACCTCCAGTGGGGAGCAGCGCATGGAGCGGGTCTCTGACTCCCACTTTGGTGCCTTATCCACCAGGCAGAGGCACCCCATGTTAAAAGAGGGCTGAGATTCCTGGGCTAATTTAGATCTTTTGTAAACAAGCTTAGTTCCAGTTTCTGTGTGTTAGTGAATGACAGCATCCACTTAATTATCTATATTATTTTCTGTAAGGAGCTAATAACACACTCGTCAAAATTTTGAGTCAACAATGCTCGAACACTGCCTGCACAGTATACATTTCGTGGGAGGCAAAAAAAACCCCACCCAGCACTGCACGTTAAAACAGTCCTCGCTGCTGATGCTAATATACATTTGAAATGGTGCAAATTTACCACTCATGGTGAATCGTAGGTGAGTCAGGAATGATAACAGCTGAGAAAAGGACTCGTTTTGCTGCAGCCAAGAGCCTCTACTCTAAGAGGAGAAAAGCACAGGTCCCGAGAAATAAAAGAATAATGAAAAAAAAGATTTTGGTGAAAAAGCTGAATCCTGCCAAGGTATTTTTACTATTTGGAATTACAGTGTGGGACAAAACTTATTCTACCAGAAAAATTCATACTCTCAGATGGACTGTTGTCTCTAAACTGCAATATGAGAGTCACTATCAAAACCCAAAGGATGAGTCTGAAGACCCAGCCCAAAGGTTTTTTGCATCACCCGTCTGTGTACAAACCTTCTTCCACACTTTATATAAATGATTAGAAACCTCGCCAGCAGCCTTGGTACAGAGAAAAATAAACAGAGTGCTTCATTAAAAATGAAAAGAGAACCAGTCTGGAGAGCTGTGTGGGAGCAATTACATTTAAAGTCTCAATTAACCCATCAGCAATTATCATTCGGAGTCAAGCCAGCATACACAGAGCAAGGGACAACACTGGCATGAGCTGGTGGTGTTACCTGTGTTAAGGATTTTTGGACACCCAGAGCAGCCACCTCCTAAGCGATGGTGGAGGAAGCCCTGCAGTGCCCATCGGGAGCCCATGTTTGCTGGCTGAGGGTTGGGGCAAGGCCATCCCACCTCCTTTCGGGCCCTCCCCAAGTCCCCCTTGGTCTCCAGGACGGGCTCCTGCTGGAGACGGCAGGGTTTGGATGACAGCAGCAGCGCCATCCAGCTAGTGTGAAACATGGCCAAAAGCGCCCATAGCTTTGGGCTCCTTCCTGTGGTCTCTGCAAGTCAAGGAGCTCTCCCTGCCTCCCCTGCATCTTCAGGAGAATTTGTAGGTGGTAAAGTAAGGAAAAAAAGTTCTCTTGACATGGATTTTTTTTTTCAGGGGCATGTTTCCCTGTGTGGCCTGAAGGAATGTGAATTTTATTTGCCTTTTGTTTGAATGCAGAACCAGTTTCTCAAACTGTATCATGCAGAACTTTGTGTTTTCAAAGATGTTACAACTCACTTAGTTCTCTGTAGTCTCACCATATCAGCACAATTTATGATAAGCAGTTAGGGATGTTAGGGAAAAAGAACCGACCTAATCTCAAAAACATGAAGGATTTGGAACATCTCAACTCTCGTTGAGGTTATTACTCAAGCACCTTCTTTCCTCTCTCGCTCATGTCACATTTATTAAAAGCAATACATGTAAGGTAAGTCTAGGGTTTATCTACACATATGAATGCACCACACCAAGCTACAGTGGCAAGAACTGAACATAACGTGCACTTAAAATAATTATTTCCATTCAGATAATTATTGCCAGTCCCAAATTCCCATCCCGTACCTCGAAATACAAGGTACGCATTGTAAAATGATAAAACCATCTTAGTAGCTCTGTTTTAACTTTGACTTAAATCTTGAGAATAGCGGTTTGTACCTCAAGCTGAGGAGAATGGACTTTCCTATGTCCCCGTCAAATTAGCTTTCTGTCATTGTTTTACAAAAGATGCAGTTACCTTTTCTGTTCCTTCCTCCTTGAGGCTAATAATGTCCAAATCAAAATCCTTCCGTAAGCCGTCCGTTTTGTTGAAGGTTATCCGCCCTGTCAAGCCATCCCACCGTGCCTGTGTGAACACAAAAACACTCTTCCCTGTAAAAACTGATAGGAACTACTCTGAAGCCACAGCAAATATGCATTTTAAATTAAGCGTAGCGCTGAATCACTTCCAAACAGCTTTTTAAACATACACGTCTTTGTTACTTTGATAAAAAAAAACCCCTTTCTTCAACTTTTCTGTTATTTAGTTTCTCTTCAATATGTTTTGTATTTTACAGTCAGGCACAAGTTTGTGACAGTTTATATATATTGATTTACATATGTCTAGTACTGTATATAAAAAGATACACTAAAGAGAAAGAGAGAGAGAATAAAATGTGTTTCACACATGCCCAAAGACAGGGCAGTTTTGCACTGTGTAAGAATTCACTGAGAAATTAAAAAAGGAGTCTGCTTTGTTCAGGCTTCGGGTCTGAACCTTGGGGTATGACAGCCTAAATCCACCAGCCTCGCTGGAGTGATCCTCTTTACCCCAGCCCAGAACCTTTTAAGCTCTCCATGACGAATGGGTAAAAAATGGCAATTGGTGCTGGATGGGAGTCCCCAGAAGGTCCTTAATGAAGGAAGGTAGCTAAGCATCCCAAAGCACCAAAGCTTTCTCAACATTTCAGTTGTGCATTTCTTAGTCTCGTGTGATAGATACTGCCTCTGCTACTCAGGGCCCAGAAAGCCAGATTTTTCCAGGCAGAGATAAACAAAAGAAGGGTTTTTGTCATTCTTGCTTGATTTCTTGGACAGGTTGTGGTTAAATGTCCCCCACCAGCGCTGGACTCCTAATGTCCTGGACTTTGCTGAATTGTTTCGCTAATACCTACTCAGTTTGCATCCCCAGGGAAGAAGACACAAGTTCCCAAGTAAGCAAACGAGGTGTATGGCTCCTAATAGGAGCCCTGCCACTGCCTGTGCTCATAGGTGTTGATGGCACAACGATGGTGGCTCTCAAAGCAGGCTTTCGGGAGAAATTCAGCCAGTCACAGAGACCTCATAAAAACTGTGTAGTGCAAGGTACACGCAAGTCTTAGGTACGTGTTTGAAGTACAGCATACAAGTTGCATATGATCGGTTTTGGTCCAGGCAGCGTTTTAATGTTCTATCGTAATTAAGTGAAATTGCATTTTCCTTGTTTTAAACATTAGCGTCAGGAGTAAGTTAAAGTGGTGGACTTTGTATATCGGTCTGCATAGCCACGACGTTCCCCTGTGCCAGGGAACGCTTCTTCAGTGCAGCAGGAACAATGTCCAGAATTAACTTCCTCTGCAATTTAGGTTTTCTGTACATTGTAAGCTTCCCAGTGAGCTTGCTTTCTTTCAGATGAGATCTATCTGTCTGTCATAGAGCCCCCATTTTGTCCCCAAAGCTGAAGCTTATCTATAAAAGAAAGTATTTGATGGATTTCAAACTTCAGATGATTTTTATAATCTATTTTTGGGGGCTCCCGCATTAGATTAAATTCCTCAAAGATACAAGAAAGGCTGATGATGAATGATGGCACAGTTTCTTCATGTGTGTCAATCATATAATTCTTAAATTACAAGCTTTTCTACTGCACAGTTATTTGCTTCATTTAATTTGTTGTAGATGGATGACATACGGAAAGCTGCATAAAAAATCAGCAGACTTACAAAATGGTGTCATTCCTATTAAGTCTAAATTCTAGCTCTGAATCTGCAGGATTTAATCTCAGATGCTGGGTGTTGTCACCATGTGCCTCAGACAAATCTGGTGCACCTAGAATTTTGTGGAAATGTAGCAAGATTTTGAAGCACGCTTAAGTAAAATAAGAATGGAAAAGCACAAATGCAACAAACTTGCTATGAGATTTTCCATGTTAATGACACGGGAACATATGAAAATTTCAGCTGTAAACAGTGAAACTCTTGTGGGTTTGTATGCTGATATAATTAAGATAGCAGGAGGGAACACATATGAATGCATTTTGTCCTATAATATCTCTTTTGCAGTCTCTCTTTTTATTACTCTGACTTGACCCCCATCTCCTACTCATAAAGATAGAACATTTTTTAAAATATGATCTTTAGAGATCAATTCCTCCTCAGAGGGCAATTTGCTTCTGTGAAATGCTCACATTTATTGATTACATATCAAATGCTCAGCTCCTCTGCTAACGTGACATGATCTTGAATAAAGGAACCAATATGTTATTTTTGGAAATGGTATCAGGAGCTTACATCTCCAGTCTTGTAAAAAAGATTTATAAGGTGAAATGCTAGCTTGCTTTTGAAAATAGACAGTGGTGCTTCTACCTCTACCTAAAAAGAATGGAAGAAAAAGATGTTACAAGCTGCATAGGTGTATGCTTGAATTTCAAGGTAGCAGCACAGTGCGTATAGCCTTTGTCTAACTTAAGTCCCACTTAGACCATCAAATATGTGTGACTGCATACCTCGTGTCCCAAATGGGACTTAAGTTATAAACAGGAGTCAGGGAGTGTTTCTCAGAAGAGTTAAACTTAAAAGTTGAAGGGGCTTTTCAGACCCTAATTGTGAGGCACACGCTTCAAATAACATTTGAATTCTAAATTTATTTTCTGATTTTTATTTTATTTTATTTATTCTAAATAAAAATAAAACATTTGGGCTGAGTCCAGTGGGCATCATTTTATTTCTGACTTCAAGATAGTTGTGGCACCTGTCTGTGCAGCACATCTAGACAGACAGGTGATATTTCCTTCCTGATCAGAAACAAAAGTTTTCCTTAAGAAACAAAGGGAGGGATGAGCTAGGACCCTATGGTCCATCCCAGGCCTTCTGAAGTCTATGGTAAAGCTTCCAAGATTTTAATATGATTTGGGTCCTAACGCATGCATGCCTGCTGCATGCAAAGAAAGTGAAATGTATCATCGCTCCGAAATCATGGCACTTCCAGATGCGTACCAGCTAAATCACAGATGCGAGTGCCTATTAGGCACCGTGTTTGGGCAAACAGAATAGGCAGCAGTCGCACAGTTCTCAGATGCAATTAATGAACAGAAATGAAGCAGAACTTTCTGAATAGTCAGAAACCACACGACTATTTAACACAGCAATGAGATTTCATGCTTTTATACGCAAGTTTTATAGCAATTCTAATGTTTCTAGTGACACTCCGTGTTAAATGTTACAGGATATAATAAAAGTTGAATTGGAACCTAATCATGTAATTCATCAAAAGAAATTGCTTTTTTGCACTCTGTCCTTGCTTTAATATTAGAGGAACTAAGGGACCAATTTGAAACTTCTTAGGGAGAGAATGTATTTTCGATTTTGTTTATATACTTTTGTGTAGAGCTTGCAGCTTAATTAAAAAAATGTGATTTTCAGTGGCTTCTCTTTGTAACATCCCTTGCTTGTCTTAGATCTCATTAATGTGAAGTTGCAGGCTGCCTCTGACAACAGAACCGCGAGGAACTGCTGTTCTTTCTGGAGTTTGGTTTGCAGCAGTAGGGCAATGCAGTATTCATCTGAGGTTCAAAATAAGGTCTCATGTTCTTCAATACCGTGTTTTATCAGACAATTATTATTCCTATTTCTAAGTTGTAAACATTTGATGACTTTCTCCTATTTATTAAACAAAATGGGGAATTAACCCAATATGTTGGTTTCAACTGGTAACTGAGAAGCAAACATACAGGACCAGCAGCTACTCAGAGCCTGTCCTACTAAGTGTTGAAAAGGTGGTAGATAGAACAGATTACAGATAAGTTAAGTCTTCAGTCATCTCTGAAGGCCGTCAGGTACCTGACATGGTAAAGATATCCAAAGAAACCTAACTAAAACTGTGAAGCTTTCTATTTTTACTGCTTTGAAAAATTAAGATTGTGGGTAAACTACAAACTGAAATCTGGGGTTAAATATTCAAATTACAATATTGGTTTCCATGTAAATAGATTGCTGGAAAACTGTAACAACCGGAAAGTGAAGCTGACTCAGCTTCTAAAAGCAAACACTCCAGAAGCTTGCTATCAATTCACACTACCATCATTCAGTCTTTATATCAATTTCCACTTCATCATCTTGAATCAATTACTATAGCAGCCTTAGTTTCAGCCAAGGCCAATCAACAGTTCAATCACAGAATCAATTAGTTCAGCTGCTACCAGATTTACTAAGGTAAAACAACAGGTACACCTCATATTCCATTTCTTTTGCCTCTACCAGACCTCACTTAGATTTCCAGATTTGTATTAGCACGATGTAACTAGATCAAGAAATTATCATGCACAGTGTATATAATGCATTAACTGAGTAAATATTCAGCTTTATGATACAGCCTCAATGGGATACAGCCAATTTTGTAGATACTGTATTGCACTACTGCACACAAAAGCGTCAGTCTTTCTCAGACAAATTGATTGCATTTTTATTATGTATTGTTTTTTCTTACTCAATGTAAGTTTATTCAAATATTTTAGTTAATTATTTATCTGCCTATGGCATATTTTCTCTTTCTGAGTCCACTGTTGCAGTGACAGATAATGGATAGTTGTGTTTCAGATTAGAAAACTTCACAATTTTTAAGGTCTTTTTTAAAGTGTTCAAAGTGCCCTGGCAACACAAAAATGCAAAGACATAATTTTATTTTAACTTTTTAAAATATTAAGCTTCTGTGAAATAAAACAGTTTTTCTGAACCTGTTCTTTAGACGTCCACTTGTAATTAATCAAGCAATCTCTTTAGAGTTTCAAACCCAAGTTTTAATCTTGTATTGTTCTACCTGTTCAAAAAACAAGACACCCCCCCCCATTTTGAATGTATGTACAGAGCTAATGCTGGAAGAAAACATCTGACACACAAATATCCCCCCAAATTCAAATAAAACTGTGACTATATCACAGAATATGTGTACATATTGAATCTGCTTTAAATGGTATAAGGAGAAACTGTCATAACTCTTAGCAAATTTTTAAAATATATAGACAAATGGAGTTGACAAAACTTCTGAGTGAAAAGCCAAGAAGACAAGCTATTTTAACGCAGTATTGTGGCAGAAAATGAACTGTTCTGTTGT